CTTTGGATTGGTTTTAAGTTGGTTCTTTTTTTTTTTCAAAATTTTTAACAGGAGTTCCGCTTTTAGGCTTATCTAAATCTAAGTAATGTTACGTCGCGTTATGTTATTTTATTAACTTTTGCCACTTCTTCCAAGGTCGATCACCAAACAGAAGTAGTTTAGGTCCAGTCAGGTTTCTTGTCCGCTTAGATATCAAACATGAACTTGAAGCCATTCCTCCATTTCAAAATTTAGTATCCATAATTTCTTCCTTAGATGTTTCAAGCTGCAATGCATGCGCTGAAAGGGCACTTCTGTCATCTCTTTGTTCCCCTCTTTCCTCGCCTCTCACTACGACTGGGCGTCTTAAGCACAACAACAGCAGAGATGATCTGAACTCAGAGATTCTTAATGCGTACATAACTGGATTGATGATGGAGTTGGTATAATTCACTAGAATTACGTATAACCAATAACTATGTGGCGGTATATAGACCTCATGATCGGCCACTAAACAGTTACCAATGAGTAGAGGAAGCCAGGAAAGTATGGCGGTCATAGATGCAAACAACAGCGTTTTTGTCAGTCGTTTCATATTCTGCGCAGATCTGTTTTGCTGCTGTAAATTGATACTTTCCAGACTTCCCCAATGGAACTTCATCAAAATGCCAATGTTTAAGACACAAACAGCAGATAGAAATACCAGTGGGAAAAGAATCCATCCGTAAAAGGAAAGTCCTAGATGAAAGTAGTGTTCTGCGTTGTGGACAGCGCAAACAATGATGGCCAAAACCCATGTCGTTAAAATGATTATGAAATATTCTCGCACTGACAGTCTTCGGTGTTTCAATGGCCAATAGATGGCATAGAATCTTTCAAAGGATATGAACACTGCAGAAATTAAAGATGAGTGCGTGAAAATGGTATGCAACACATGGACAAAAATATCTAACCTGATCTGCAGCTCATATGCATTTTCCCATAGCTGAAATGTAGGTCCGACTATCAAGTAAACATATAGCGGCAGACACACAGCTCCTAACATGGCATCAGAAAATGCCATGTTTATAACAAGAAACAAGCTTTTCCTGCGAAGCTTTCTATTAAATGCGAATAGAACTACTGTTAACAAATTCCCAAAGGCAATCAGTACGGCTTCCACTACAAAAGCACTGCATAGTACGATTCCTTCTGCCAAAGTGTGGTAATAGTCTTTGATCGCACTGTTCGAGGCATTGGTAGCTGAAATATTTTTCATATTCTTGTTTCAGATAAAACCAACAGTTATCTAAAAAGTTACAGAGTGCGCCTGATTTCAGTCAAATATGAACGGAAGAACTTAACAGAATGAGCGACGAGAGAAATTTATAAAGTCAATGGAAAGCAGGTGGACAAACGATTTACACTTGGGTCAACTACCCCAAAGTTCAGTGCAAATATCAACAAACTTGTTTTGGACCTCCTTCAAGAGGCAGCCCAGGGATGCCAATTCCACACGCCCAATAGATAGTGGAATGATACACAGCATAGAGTTAAACCTTGGTTACCTGAAATTGGTTCTTATAATTAGGAAGCATGATTCGCTGCACGGCGTCCAACCACCCGTGAGAGACGTCACAAAAAGCGTTGTAAAGAAGCTCGCCTTGTTTGCTTTCCGCTGTGCTCTTGGCTGGGGAAGCAAACACGTAGCAGAGTTATTATTATAATCTTTTTATTGTTGTTTTTTTTTTCTTTGTCTGTAGAAGCCAAGCATTCCTCATTTGTAGAGGATGTCCAGGAAAGAAAATGCACACTAAGAGAATCCGAAGAGAGAGAGAGAGAGTTAAGGTTAAGCCGAGCTTACAGTTGTAGATCACTCGAATGTGTAACTCAGTATTTGCGCTTAATTGCATGGATAATCTTTCAGTGAATCAGTCTCGCTCGCTTCGGGTATAGTTAGAGAATTTTTGTGAGGGAATCATCCACATAACACCTATAACTTAACTTTTTGCCGACAACTTGCCCATTGCTATCAGTACAGCTTTCACTACAACAGCACAGCATACGATTGCTTCTGACGTAAAAGTATATTTTGTCCTCCGCCGCGGAAGAAGACTTATAGTTTGAGCCTTTTGTTATTATGCAAAAATTTGATACTTCCAGAAAGTATGTACAGTATTTTAGCTCATATGTCATGATAGCTAGCTAGGCCGCCACGGACTTAAAACTCCAGAATTATATTTAATATCACCTTTGCGTTGGTCTTCCTGCTTGTTTGTTTGCAGGGTACAGGTAATTTGTTTCGAGCAATTAGTTGCAGTACAACCTGCTATCATAATTATAATCAATAATTAAAATAGAAGTTTAAAAAAAAAAACATTTTTTTTATGTTCATTTGCAAAATTTGCAAAGTCACTAATCTTCTTTTTCTTCCCCTTTTTTTCGATCTCCAAAATAAAGAATTTTCCTTGTTTATTATTCTCCTTCAACAAATACTGGACATCAAGTCTGCCGGCGGAAAATTATACTTGGAACGACCAAAAAGGCTATGTAACTATTCTTATTCTTATCATATGGGGCGCCGTTTGTAAAAAAAATGATTTAGCTTAATTTTGTCATTTTTTTCGTTATTTATTAAATAAAGTTTTCTGATATGATATCACACGTCAATGACTTGATATAATAAATGTTGATTTCAAATCATGCGTTTATGATTTGATATAATAAACTAGGGTATCTAAAAGATAGTAATGCTGCGGCACATTCTGTTGATACTGGCATTAGTTAGGCAGTGAGACTTAAAAGAATCGAAAATGACATTGAATGTCCTATTTACATGTTGGAAAGTACTAGAATAATTACCATCAGTCTATAGAAAGAACTGGTGGGAACGTTGTTTAGAAAATGATCAAGTGGTTAAAACTCTGGTTTTCCCACAGTAAATTGTAGGAAATAATAGAAATTCAGATTGTTTATCCATATATTTAATATGCGGTGCACGATATTTTCTCCGGAAACACAATACTTTTCTTGCTGTTTGTTGCACTTTATTAAGAAAGAGTTATTTAGCTAACACAAAAAACGGAAAAAAAAAGAAAAAAGGACTTATGAATTCAGTAGGACTCGAACCCT